TGGATCTGCCTTTTCATGGTTTCATGGTGAAATATCCTTGGACTGTGGAATAAGAAGTGTGGGGCCGTGAGGTTGATTGTGTGTTTGCTGGTGTTTTGTCCTCAGGGCACTCAGAAGAAAATCTTGGATGTGGCCAACATGCTGGGCCTGTCCAACACAGTGATGAGGCTGATCGAGAAAAGAGCCTTCCAGGACAAGTACCTGATGCTGGGGGGAATGGCCCTCACCTGTGTCATCATGTTCCTCGTGGTGCAGTACCTGACATGAGAGGAACAAGAGGCCTGGCTCCAGACTGGACCTTGGGTACTACCTTGGCTGAGCCCTTCCCCTGGACTTCAGTTCATAGCTCCCACTTGGACACGTGTCACAGTGAAAGCACATTGGCAAATGGATGTCTCTGGGGGTGCTGGGGGTGAGAATGGCCCTCCAGAATACCCCGTGGCGTGCTGCTCTCACCTCATGCCTGCAGGTTCAAGGATCTAGGAACAGAAGTGAACGCTGTGCCCAGCTGTGTGGCCAGGCAGGAATGTCCCTCCGGGGACAGAAGGGTGCAGAGGCAGAGTGTGAGATGTACTGAGCCTTTCTGTGCTGTCCAGAGCTGCCCCTCACCACTGCATCTTCCACCACACCATCACACCCAGGGCTGAGTGTGCAGAAAGGGTTCCCACCTGCACACTTGCTGCTTGCTTGGAGGAGGAGGAAGATTTGTGGGAAGGGTCTTGGAGCATAATTAAGCCTCAGCTAACTTTACTCACAGTATTAACCAGCACAGATCTCCCTGGTTCAACCCTGACCGCTGGTTTAGGCTGCAGTGCTGCTCAGCTCATCAGAGGGGTGATTTGGTGCCTCTTTGCCCTGCTGCTTCACAGGGGAATACAAGTGCTGTGCTCCTGCTCTCAGAATGCACTTCATGCCTGTGGCTTCTCCCTGGGCTTCCTGCCAAAGCCACCCTCCAAAATGTGACATTTCCAATGCTGCTGCACGTGACACTGGGTGAGTTGTATTCACTTTCTCAGGTGCAGGTTGGGTTTGGGCTCTGTACTGGTACTCTGGAGTCCATGAAGGAGAGGAGTCTCTGCTGTGCTCTGATCCATAGGTGGAATTAGAGCTGGATGGTGGGATCAGGGCAAGGCTGGCACTTAGAGTCAGCTGTGGGTAAAGAGTTTCCTCAGGATCTGTGCCTTGGGATGGTCACCATCCCCATCCTTGGGAAGGCTGTTCCCTTTGCACGTGTGGAATTGCTGTGGAAGACACTCAGACATGGCATTTCCCAGGATGGTGCCAGCAGGGACCTGTCACAGTTAAACACTGAGCTGTGAGCTGCCTGGTTTCAACGCAGCACTGCTTTCCCTGTGGCCTGGGGGCTGCTGGAGGGGCCATCCTGGGATTCTGGCCATCATCCATGGCACTCACCCTCAGATCCATTCCCATCCCTGGATGTGCCCAAGTCTGGAACATCCCCCAGTGCCTAGCAGCTGCATGCAAGTGTCACGTTCCCATGTGGCATCTGCTGGCAACTCCTTGTTCTCTGTCTGGAATGGCTGTGGGTTAGGAACAGATCCGAGGCTCTGTGTTCTGTCCTCACTGCACTGAGCTTTGCGTGTGGCAACTGGGAGAAACGGTTTTAGTCACTTTAGGAAGGAGTTTCAGTGAACATGGACCAATGGGACAGGCTCTGGCTGTGCTGGGGTGGAGCTCAGCCAGAGCACCTGGAGCAGTCACTGCCCAGGCAGCTCCACACTGGAAACACCAGGCAGGAGCAGGGACAGCTGCTCCATACACCCCAGAGTGGGGGCCAAGGTACTGCCAGTGCCTGGATAATCCTTTCAGTGGCTCAGCAGGAGAAGGCAGGGAAGCCTGGATGCTTGGTGAGCATCCCTCAGGACTCCTGGCTGCCTCTTCTGTGCTTCCCATCGAGCCTTCTGCAGTGGCACATGCTTCTCATGTTCCCACTGCGCCACACATCCAGGGAAACACCTCAGCAGGGCAAGCATGGAGCTGGTTTTCAGTTGAGTCCAGGGGAGCAGGGAATTAAAAGAGGGAAGTCTGCAGTGATTGAGCATTTGTCCTGCTGTGTCTGTAACCTAAATCTTAGAGAGAAATTGACTTTAAGTTCACTTTAGGTAGGAAATCTGATGGGTTCA